CGACAGGCCTTATTCAGATTTCAACAATTTTGTCAGTAAGGGCCTTTTAGCCAAAAGCTTATAATTTCATTCGGCTGTCCTATCCCCTTAGTCTTCTTTAGTCTGGACTAGCTCCGCAGTCTTTGGTTTTCACAACAGTCGTGCATTTCGTTAAGAGTACAGGCCAGATTGTTTTGCAGAATAACCCCCCATTTGGGTTTGACTGATGTGGCTTCAGGCTTCCACCCAGGTTACATTCTCGTGACAGGAAAACCAGAGAAGTGATGCTGAGTTCTCAGTGCCTCCCATCAGGGGCCCCTGGAGCTGGTCAGTCTCATTGAGGGCAATGCCATCTTTGGGTATCGGGTGCAGGTGCTGCGTGCATCGTTCCTCCACCGTACCGATACTGTTGTACCCTTAAGCAGGTGGCGTGTTTAGAGATGAACCGTTCTGTTCTCCCTGAACCCTTGCCCGCTAATGTCAGCATCCACTGCTGACCCTTGCTTGAATCAGTTACTGTTGTGATGGAGATTTTTCTAGTCCCATGATTCCTTGTGTGCAGGTTAGCTGGCTTTCTACTTATAAGGCAAAGCTTTCCCTGAATTTATATCCACGTGGACGCACAGATCCTCGTTTTATTCAGGGGGCTCTAACCTTTGTATCTGTAGTATTTATTTTGATGCTCCAATAGTTCCAGATCTGACCAGTAGAACCTTTACAAGCTGGTTCCTGTGCCCTTTGACCTGCCTCCGTCACTTTTCGGGACGATCACTGTTCAAAGGCAGCCCTTGGCAGCCGGCTTGAGCCTTTTTCTGTATGTCTTGTCTTCCTGATGAATACTCCATTTCTCCGACTGGTTAGAAAACGCCTGACTCTGTGGTCTTCCAGTTCCATGCCCCTCCCCCACCCCGCCTCCACCACGATCCCCCCTGTGGAACAGGATTTTCCAGCAATGAGACTTGATTAGTAACTGACAGAGCATTCGCATGTCCATCTTCAAACACAGGACTCTTTAACTTCAACATAAAACACAGGGCAGAGTCAACCCCCAACACAGGACTCCAGAAGCAGGCAGGTGCCCACGCTGGGTGGACATACCCTCCTAATGGTATTTGCTTTTCCCCCTGTATAAACCAGCCGATGGTTGCAAAGGATTTGCCCTTTGCCTCTCGACTGATTTTTTATACTCCAAAGAGAAAGCAAATTTTGATTCTACTAAGTAATACGAAGCACCTGACAGCCGAGTTCTAACCTCCAAGCTAGCCATTGTCCAAGTGGGGCGGGGGAGCAGGGAGAAGGCAGGTAGACTGCCCCTCATGAAGGTGTTAATTAGGAGCGTGTACCCCACCCTCCCCTGTCCCGTGTCCAGGTGTCACACTGGACAAGGAGTATTTCCTTTTCGCTCTTGGAAATGGGAGAGCTCCTTGCCAAAAGCCAGATGTGGACACTAAAGTGACATATGAAAAGAGGAATAAATTGAATTTGACATTAGGAATCCTCATAGAAGGAAGGAAGTCGTGGGTATGGGCAGGCAGAGGTTGGATGTGAATACATTAGTCCCCACCCTTTCTGCCAGCAGTCACACAGTCACACAGCGGTGGACACTGGAGCCACCTCAGAGAAGGAATGTCCCTGGGGAGGGAAAACTCCGGGCAGGTGGGAGAAGGCAGAGCCTGTGGCCAGGAAGAGGCCGTCTCCACTGGCAGAGAGAGGCAGGAGAGGCCCGGAGCAGGGCCCTCAGGTGAGGGACCAGGCCAGGCAGAAACCCGGGTGCTGTGCCCCAAAGGCCAGTGGGGGCTGGGCTGAGAAGCCAAACCAGAAACTTGATCCTGAAAGGGGAAAACCTTTACAACATCCTTTCTATTACATAGCTCTGAAGGAAAATATAGATCCTGTGGTTTTTCTGGGGGAGGAGGAGGGGAGCCTAAAGCCACAGATGACTTATAAATTCTATAAGAAACAGGGAAGTGGTGGCTCTCCAGTTGGCCTGTTAAAGCTCCGCAGTCATTTCAGTGCAGAACGTGTTGCTCACGTGGCCCTGGCCACAGCGGCACAGGGTGGGGACTGTGGCTGGGCCAGGGTTCCCCAGGGTCCCGTCAGCCTCTGAGACTCAGCCTCTGAGACGCTGGGAACACAAGGTGTGGCTCAAGGCTGACGCTTCCTAGCTTCCTCCCTCCCCCCCCCCCTTCCTTCCTTCCTTCCTTCCTTCCTTCCTTCCTTCCTTCCTTCCTTCTTCCCTTCCTTCCCTTTTTCTTCCTCCCTCCCTTCCTTCCTTCCTTCCTTCCTACCTTCCTTCCCTCCCTCCCTCCTTCATTCTTCCCTTCCTTCCTTCCTTCCTGAAACCTTCCCCTGCTATGCCTCTTAACTTGCCATCCTAAAGTTGACCGACCAGATATTTTACAGTGATCACCATGGCTTCAATTACATTATGATGACCCACAGTCTGCCCTCTCAAAAACCTCAAAGCCAGGTTTTTCTTTCCTTTGACTTTTTTTTTCCTCCTATCCTCCTGACTGTGTTTTTAAACAGAGTCCAAGATAAATAAAGGTACTGCAAGCATGTAGAGGGGCAGAGTTTTAGAGCAGGATGGGGGGAGGGGAGGGGGGAGGAGAGGGGTTGATGGAGGGGGGGAGGTGCACATCGTCCTTGTTTCTTGGTCCTGTTTTTCCAGCTGATTTATGAATTGCTAGCAGAAAATAGGCGTAAGTGGGAGCAGAGGCTGGGAACAAAATTCTGGGCTCTGGACATGGGATCATTTAACGGAGAGTGCTTTGAAACAGTAAGTGGTTGTGCACACTGACCGCTGGCCAAGCTCCCAATGATTTCTCCCTCTGAGGAACCTTTGTGGCACTCAGGTTTTGTGGCACTTGACTTTCAGTTGGTGCCACAGTTAATAGAAATATACCATTTGGCCCTTAACCCAGAAAACAAGTATTACTTGGTGTTCACAATGCTTTTGTTCCTGTGTGTATGTTGTGGCAACTACATTACATCTTTCTTAGGTGCAAGGCCTCCAAATTTTTTTTTTTTTTTTTAACATGTCAGGGCTCCTGGGTACTTCAGTTGGTTAAGTGTCCAACTCTTGATTTGGGCTCAGGTCATGATCTCATGGTTCATGGGTTTGAGCTGACAGTGTGGAGCCTGCTTGGGATTCTCTCTCTCCTTCTCTCTCTGTCTCTTCCCTGCTCATATGTGAAAGAAAGAAGGAAGGAAGGAAGGAAGGAAGGAAGGAAGGAAGGAAGGAAGGAAAAGAAAGAAAAGAAGGAAGGAAAGAAGAAAGGAGCGAGAGAGAGGGAGGGAGGGAGGAAGAAGGGGAAGGGAAGAAAGGAAGGAAAGGAAAGAGAAATTTTTTTTTAACGTGCTGTGTCCAAACAGGTCTGAGTAATAAGTATATGCTTATTGTGAATATTGACTTATATAATCCCCAACGACACCATATGGTAGACATACCATTATCCCCATTTACAGATGAAATAGCCGAGGCCCAAAGTCATACTGCCAAGTAAGAAGCAGAGCTGGGCTCTGAACCATATAATCCAAGTAAATCTCCCCATCTCGAATCTGTAATCACATCTGCGAAGACCTTTTTTGTTTCTTTGTTACATGCAAATTCCAGAGATTAGGTTGGGGATATCTTTTGGAGACCATCTTTCAGCCTTCCCATAGGAGGTCGTTTGTAGACTTTATTTATCGGTATAAACCCGTAACCTGCCAGTCCATAACCTCTTAAAGAGCACCGGTCATTTTCCGTGTGGGTAAAGGTTTCTGTGGTGGCATCCTGGGAGTTCAATTACAATTGAAGGAAGACAGAAGACGGGCCAGGGAGGCAGCGACACCACCAACAGTGAATGATCTCTCCCTCTTCTTCGTGTGCACGTCTTACGGAGACGGAGGGACTGGGGCTGTAGATTCTCTTACTGGTTTGTCACTTTAAAGGTTGTTCCTACTAGAAAAGGGAAATGATTTAGAGATTCTTCCACACGAGTTTTTAGGATCTTCAGAAGAGAGATCAGAACAACCCGGTGAGTTCCATGTGAAGGGAAGATTTCAGTGGGAGAGCACGCATCAGGAAACACGAAACTTGGGAAGGGGCAGGTAGGAGAAAAGAAGCAGCTGAACCCATCTGCTGCCAGGACGCCCCAAGGGCCATGTCCTTGAGCTGCAAGAGTGGAGCCCCTGGGCCATTGCCAGGGTTGGCCAGTCACGGGAGGGGCGCAACAGATGCCAATTAGTCCCGTAAAGCTTGGAATGATGACCACAGCCGTCACCTTCTTGGGTCTGTGTTGTGGAGCATGCAGGTCGGCCACCTTACCCAGATGCCCCTTTCTTTTTAATGATTGAAAAAAATGTTTTAATGTTTATTTATTTTTGAGAGAGAGCAAGCATGTGTGGGGGAGGGGCAGAGAGCGAGGGAGACCCAGAATCGGGAGCAGGCTCCAGGCTCTGAGCTGTGAGCACAGAGCCCCACACGGGGCTTGAACTCACAAACTGCAAGATCATGACCTGAGCAGAAGTCAGACATTTAACCCACTGAGCCACCCAGGCGCCCCAACCCAGATGTCCTTTCATACTTGAGTAGCTAATCCCCTGGTAAGGAGTCCTGTCTTACACCCCCGCCCCCTGGAGCAGCACAATGGCTGCGCCCTGGTTAGGCTCCAGAGTCCCCAGCAGAAGGCCATTGATCAATGTGGAAATGGCAAGGATCCTTTTCAATCCCGAAGGTCTCTCCCTAGCATTCTTCAGCCTGTGTTTCCTCCTTCACCAAATGGAGACAACCTACCTATCGCCCCAGGATGGGGAAAGGGCCTGGCACAGAGACGAGCGTCGGTAAATGTTTGAGAACTCTGAATTGGTGATTTTAGAAACGTGAAGGTGTTCCCGGTAACCATGGTCTCCCTGCCTCACGTGTTCTGCTTTTGCCAAAAATTGTGACCCTCCCAACTTGGAGAATCTGGGAAGGAAGGAGCAAACTCAGTTCCTGTTCAGATGTCATTCACTATGTTCTGTCCTTTCTTTTGCAGATGGTAACAAAAACTCATCCAGATGGGGTGCAAGTGCTGTAAAATGATACAAAGGTAAAGTTGGAAAAGTACCCTGAGTGGAGGACTTTGGGACTACTGTGGAGGCCCCCCTAAAGACCCCGCATGGGGTCGCTGCATTTATCCGACCTCAAGCATGACCAGCATTGCCAAGAAATTATGCATTTGGAACTGCTCGTATATCATTTCAGAGGACATGTGGCCCAGATGTAAACTGTTTTGTTGTTGTTGCTCACTGCTCCGAGCACATTGGGAATGCCGTCGTGCTCTGAGATGGAATTTGGTTTAGGTGGACCTTGCAGTTCTCCAGAGACCTTCGGTGCAAAGACAAGCTGGGGTTGCAGAGATGATGCCTGACCTGGCATCACTGAAAATAAATCACCCCAGTCACGTACAGGGTTTTAATTCTGTCCAGATTCTATTTCAGAAAAATTTGGATAACCTGACTAGAACTCCACACAAAATAAAGGGGAAGAAGTTAACTAATTTGCTCCCTTAACAAACAGCACTTTTTTGAGATTCTACTTCTCCATCTACAGCTATACACCTACATCCATTTATTCATACGTGTGTGTATAAGTTTTATTCCATTGTACTCACAGTGTGATGGTAGGGCGTGATTCAAAAACCATTTATTATCGTAAATATTTGTTGTGTCTTCTGTGCTAGTCCAGACTTCATGTTTATTTATCTTGTTAATGACTGCATGCTATTCTGTGGAGGGGATGTGCCATCAGTGTTTAACCACCTATTCCCCTGTTATTGGACATTTATTTACTTTTTGGTTGTTTTTAATTCCATCAACCACTTTGCACCCTGTTCTGTGGTCTCTTAGATCTCTTCCTGAGACCTGTTTCCAGTGGTAAAACAGGTTTATACCAACTAGATCTGTTTGGTTTAGACATACACAGAGGCTTCACGGAATAATCGCAGAAATTAACAGGAATGGTAGAAGGAAGCAGAAAGTAGAAGCATAGAGTGTTGATAATGGAAGCTATTCATAGAGGGATTCGTGAATAACCGTAGTTAATGTCTAACTGACTGATCTTCATTCTTGTCGCCACCAGCTATCTCTTCGATCCAGTTCAAGTGCCCTCCTCTGGCTACGTCAACGAGGTGAACAGCTGCAAGGTGGATGAAGGGGGCGCTGGTAAATGGAAAGGCAAACAGGGCAGCCAAGTCCCGGGGCATCAAAACGAGCTGCAGAGCGAGGGCCTGAAGAGGACGGCCAGCAGGGGCAGAGCTGGCGGCGGGCAGGAGCCCCGCTGGCCTCCCCCGGGATCGCCCCCTCTGGGGGACACGGTGGGGGGACCCTGCGCGGACAAGGCTGGCAGTGCCGTCAACGGCATCGGCCCCGCCGCCCCCCCGCAGCCCACTGGGGACCGTGGGCCCCACCAGGGCGAGAGGGGCTCCTGCGTCAGTACCGCCAACAGCGCCCCCCCGACTGCACCCTTCCGGGAAGGCTGGGGCCCCGGCAGACGGGACAGTGTGCTGCTGCCGGCCCTGCGAGAGACCCACGTCGTCCAAAGTGGGGACCCCAGAGCTGCTCTCAGGGCAGAAGGTCCTGCCTTGGAAGTACAAGACCACGACTTCCAGATGCCAGCCCCAGATTACCCTCCCCTTCGGGGCTCCGCTGGAGACACAGTTGACTGGGAAGAAAAGGACGGTCTTCCCGAGAGCCACCCTGAGGAGGGACCCCCGGCGGGCCTTCACCCTAGGGCGGGGGGACACGGCTTGAATATGCCCTTCCCCTTGAAGAGAAGCTGGGATTCCTTAAATGAGGCCGTGGCAACAGAAGCCCTAAGTGTCGGCTTCAAAGAAGAGGACGCTGCTCAGGCCGTGCCCAGGGTCGATTCGAGAACTGGGTGGGAGGGTGCGCCCGGCTCCACCGCAGACGGGAGTGGGGATGCGGTGGACGAGGACGCGGCGGTGGCCGAAGCCCTTGCGGCTTTGGAAGCGGCCACTGCAGGAGAAGACGCGGATGAGGCAGATTAGGGCCCCCCGAGCTGGCGTCGCGCCGCGCATGCGCGGTGCGCGTGCTCCTTGCGCGCAGCGGACGTCGTGCAGCCTTAACGGGCAGCCTCGCCGACTGTTTGCAACAGCGTCTGTTCTGGCGATTGGCAGTGCCTGCGGCCAGGCCGCTTGTTGCGAAGTATCGGAAGCCCCGCTGTGTAGACGGGGTGTCACTCAGGAGGCCGGAATAAGAATCAGAGGGGACGATGCGCCGGTGCCCACAGCACAGGCAGAAATTAAACAGCCTGCTCATCAACCCACAAACCCCCCTCCGAGAACGCTCGGAAATCCCAGTGCTGAATCCCAAGAGTGCATAATCACAGAATGTTCTGTTGGTAAATTCACTGTCTCGCTTCTGAGAGCCAGACGTTGTACCCAACCCGGAAAAGGTAACTACCCCCACTGAAAGTGCCTCGTGTGTCCCCAGAGCGTGGCTTACCTTCAGGGACGGTCTCCCAGGGAACCAATAACTAACCACTTGTTTGATATCCAGTTAAGCTCAGCAGCATTCAGGATGGGGCAGAAGCCACTAGTGAACAAATGGTTAGTTGTTAGCTGTGATATGAAGACACCTTGACCTTAACTTTTTTTACATTATTACTTTTTATTCTCCTTTGGGATTGGGGAAGCCAGTGAAAATAATTCTTAAACCTGCTTGTGACCATTTGACTTGTAAATTCATGAGATTGGGAACAGCGAAGAGATCAGATGGAGTGTTCTATGCCACTTTAATGTCTGATTCTGATTAAAACGTAACAACATGTGTGTCTGTCGTAACTCAAAGGCGGTTCTAATGTGCCAGCCTTGAGTGTCAGTAAGCCTTGACGTTTGCTTCCATGTAAAGAGCTGCACTACTAAGTTAACAGGTGAGGAGAGCAAGTCAGTTTGCTGAGAACGGCTTTGGCTGGCTGTCCCTGCCGTGGAAACGCGTGACAGCGTGACCGCACGCGCCGATCTCCCCTTAAGGACGAACAACAGCCCCCTCTGCATTTCTGCCTTGTAATTTATAGGAACGAGAACTGCCGTTCTGACATGGCCCAGTGGAGAATTTAAAGCACGGTCAAATCCATCTAGAGAAACAGGAACCCAGAAGAGCTTTAGGATGGCATTTCATAACACAGGCTCTGAAATCCGACTGACCTTGTTCTGGTTTCCAGCTTTGCCATGCGACCTTAGCCAATTAATTGATCCCTTCTCCTTTCCCTTCTGTTAAGTCAGAGTAATAATGGTGTATGTTTGTAGAGATTAAATGAGATGATGCAGGTGTTTATCACAGTGCCTGGCACAGAAGATGCACTCAATAAAATGATAAGTCTTTTTAGCTAAAAACAAATCCTTTAAAAATGGCTTTATGTCCTCACAACTGAAATGTCTGTAATGTCATTACCGCGTATTGGTAGAAAACATGATTTCCCAGCATCTTTAAGGACGGCACCCTGACAAATGCTTAACAGGCATACATTACCCTGGGTTTGTTTGGGGACATACCATCTCTACCTACAAGGTCACACAGAGCCCCTAAAATAGAAACTGTTGTCCTTGTTATGTGCATTGTATGTGTGTTTGTTATTGTACTTCGTACACCCAATGCTTCATATTTGAGAATGAGTCCTTCAGTTCCCCAAGTGTGTCTATTGGGATTAGATTCGGCTGCATGTGATAAATGGCTTATACAATAGAGACGTATTTACCTCTTGTGTAAAAGGAGGCCGGAAGTAGCAGTCCAGGGTGCTAGAGTGTCCCATTCTGTCAGCAACCAGTGCTCCTATCATCTTGCCTTCCTTCTCAAGATCACTGTGTAGTCCAATCATTACATTTGCTTTCCACGCAGAAAAAAAGAATAAAGGAAGGGGCGCTGGGGTGGCTCAGTTAAGTGTCCATCTCTTGATCTCAGCTCAGGTCTTGGTCTCAGGGTCGTGAGTTCAAGCCCCGCGTTGGGCTCCACGCTGAGACATTGAGTGTTGAGGTGGTCAGCTTACAGCCTCAGAATAGAGCCAGTTTGCTAAAGGTCGAAAGGCCATATTTTACATTTAGTATAACCCCAAAGGGGATTCAACCTTTGGTCCGGTGGAAGGAGGACTGGACAGCTACGGGCATCTCGACTTCCCCTGCTGTCTCTAAAACAGAAGAAGGAAAGAAGGAAATTCAGACAGAAAGAGGTTAAGGTGAGGAGTTAGTGCAGACAGGTCTCTGTGCCTTGCACAGAAACCCACTCCTGCACTTGGAATGTGTGCACGATTTTACATCCTGAGATGGCTGCATATTCACCATGATCAGCAGTTCTCCTAAGTTTTAAAGATTCTTTTTTTGTGCGAATAACTGCTTCAAAAAGGTTAGCAGATGGCCAAGATTTTCAAGCTTTTTTTGTTTTGTTTTGTTTTTTGTTTTTACGTTTGTTTGTTTTTAAAGCCATCATGGCTCCTTTTGTCTAACCCCACATCCAGGCTCTACCAAAGGATGTCAGAGGAAGTCAGAATCTAAAGAATGAAAAGAAATTCCAGACTGTAGCTTCATCCACCGGGTTGTCTAGCAACTGACTAACCGTCCCACCCCGTGTAGCATGTCTTCTTTCTGCAGTCGGGTGCACCCCCCATCAGAAACGTGATGCTTGCCAATAGTGAACTTTTCAAATATTCTGAACTCCCCCAAAGCGCCAATGCACCCTGAACGTGAGGCACTGGCTGTGGTCAGGAGTGGACATCCTGGTCTTCCGTGAACTTAGCAAACTGCCTCCTGTAGGTATTCACCACGTTAAACCTCGACTGTGATTGTGATATAAGATTATTACTATATTACATGTATGTATATATATGTGTATACGCACATACACGTTCTTTACTGGCAGAAGTTGAACTGTCATATAAATATGAAAGTAGATATTTTTCCTCTGGTTTCCAAGGCCATTAGTAGCAAGTTGTTATAACTGTCAAACCCGACCTTCAAAGGAACAAAGAGAATTTGAGGTTGCTTAACACACGCCCATTTGTCCACGCTCAGCAACTGCTGGCCAGACGCCATTTCTCCCTTTCTGCTTCACTCTGCCTCTGACCCAAAGGATAAGACTCACTCTTCCTAAGTTTTCCATCGGCATCTGCAAGCAGGAGGCCCTCGGAAGAATAAAGGAGGCACAAAATCCCAGTATGTGAGCAAAGATCTGACTCCCTTAGTTTTGCCTGTGTGGTCACGGGAACCAAGCCTCCAGTCTTGGACTTACTTAGACTTTCAGATGAAAATGTGGACATTCTTGCTTTCTGTTTGTTTATTTTTAACTCCAGAGTAAACCTCAGTTATTTTCAAATCCTCTATTTGGGAACTAGTGATAATTAAACAGAGACAAGCTGACGTTTGTTTTTCATGGTAAATGCTTTTCCTGTGAATATGTGGGAAAAATATGTCGCACATTTGTATACTAAATTTGTCAGTTTCTCCAACACATGAGATTATAGTAGACATCTGTAAACAGTCTGACCTTCCAAGCACTCTTGGCCACTTGAAGAAACAACACTTGAGGCGCACTGATTACATATGCTGATTCCAGATGATTCTCACCTGCCACATTAAATCAGTTGCCTGGAGTCGACTGCTAGCAATTTTTTTTCAACTAAAGCAACTATAACAAGTGCCTTTAAAAAAAATTTTTTTTTCATGTTTATTCATTATTGAGAGACAGAGACAGAGCACGAGCATGGGAGGGGCAGAGAGAGGGGGAGACAGAGAATCTGAAGCGGACTCCAGGCTCTGAGCTGTCAGCACACAGCCCAACGTATGGCTCAGACTCAACAAACCGCGAGATCATGACCTGAGCTGAAGTTGGATGCTTAACTGATTGAGCTGCCCGGGTGCCCCACGAACAAGTGCCTTTTGCCTCGATCTAGGATAGCCTGTGGCGTAAGGTGAGGACTCAACACATTATTGGGGGGGGGGGGCCGGGCGAACCCATGAAAACTCCTCGCACTATAGTTGAGGAGACCTCACACAGCTGAGACTCTGGATGCTAATTAGGAGATGGTGACAGGTGTCATAAAGGTATAAATGCAGGGCCGTGAAAGAACAAGTCCTTATCAGTTTGAGAGAAGAGAACTGGCATTTATTCATGCTTTTTATTCTCAGACTGTCCTGCTCTGTTTGAACAACGGGCCTTTACAGTGGTCTCGGGAAAGGCAGGCAGAGAGTAGAATTTGAACAGCCAGAGGAGGTTCGGTCTCTCGAGTGAGGCCGTGTTACTCTGAGGACCTTAATTCCAAATTGAGAACAAAGCCTCAAGAAAACCAATGTTTGGGACGAAGCAATGGGAAACTTGGACCACATTTTTCACTCATTTTGAACCTGATCTTTAAAATCCTGAGGGAGAAAGAAAGGATGTGTATTTGTATAACAAGACTCAGATGTCACTTTTCTCTTGGCTTCTAGCGATGGAGAAAGCCCATGGGGGTCGGCTCTTCAGTTAACCACCTGCAGCCATGCATCATGACCTCCAGGTCTCAGAGGTTATGGTCATGTGGCATGTACCAAGCACTCATGCACCCCTGTAATCCTAAAAAAATGGGGGTGGAATCAGCCCACGCCTCTTGCTCGCTGTATGACGTTGGGTTTAAATTTCTTGACTTTCTGGAGCCTCAGTTTCCCCATCTGTAAAATGGGAGTGACTCCTACCTCCCAAGTTGAAAGCAGACACTCTCCAATTTTCAGTGTGCTTGTTTCCAAACAGCCGATTTCTGAGTCTTAGCTACCAGAGATTTGAACTCAGTAGGTCTTGGGTGGGGACCTGGCATATGTATAGGTTGATGCGGGTGACTTTCCAGCCACACATGGAGAAGCACTGAGACTATATACTAGGAACTGCCACATCTTCTTGATCTTGCAGCAGTTGCCAGTAAAAAAAAGTTTGCGCTCATACCCCTAATAGGAGCACATTTACTATTAAATCTACGGTCAGGACAAAGCAATATTAGGATGGGCTAACAATTAAATATAAAAGTTTTTTTTTTTGTTTGGTTTGGGTTTTGTTTTTTTTGTTTTTTGTTTTTTGTTTTTTTTAGAGAGAGTGTGTGTGCAAACAGAGGAGGGGGCAGAGAGAGAGAAAGAGAGAGAGAGAGAGAGAGAATCCCAAGCAGGTTCCACACTCAGCACGGAACCCAACACGGGGCTCAACCCTAGGGTCATGACTATGATCCCACGACCCTGGGATCATGACCCGAGCTGAAATCAAGAGTCAGACACTCAACCGTCTGAGTCCCCCAGGTGCCCTAACTATCCAAGTTTTAATATTTTCTTCCCATACCCCTGGGTTATGTAAAATCCACTTTGAAAACCACTGATTTAGAAGCCCAAATGAACTATCTGTAAAAACACTTTGTAAATAGACAAAATTGGAGTAAGATTTTTGACAATATATACAGCATACACATGCATATGATCACACACCTGGAATGCACACTCAGCCATACGAAGCAGATGTGAAAACATACACCATCATTACCACTCATCTGCTACCATTCGTCCTCACCTTTTGAGCCTGATTTTGAGGAAATTCTGTATTTTCTGCTTTTAAGCATTTTGGAGTAGTTAATATAAAACTAGGGTAAAATATGACCTAGAGGCCGGAAAGCAGACAAAGTATTTTACTCATCTACCTTATCAAAACTATACGCTCCCAACCAATATGAGCAAGCCAGCTGGGGGACAGGCCAATTAGAGTATTTGTTTTGTCAGGATCTCACTATTTGGAAAGCAGAACCATAACATTTTCTCTTGACATCAGTTACCAACTTTAAGAAACATCACAAAAATAATTTCATTTTCAGCTCCTACTCACCCTTTCCCATTCCCCCAAAATAGTCCTAAAGCTGTGGATAATGGCGCATGTAAACCTTGGCACTTATATAAAAAAGGACACTCTCACAGACCAAAGAGGGTTGTTGGTCTCTTCCCATTAATGGACGTGCTCTCCCTGTCTTAAATTTCAATGCTTAGAAAGGAATCCGAAGTTTTAAAATATCCATTTACAAAGCCACACGATCATAGGCTCTCAGATCTTCCTGACCTCAGCCATTAGCCAGGAGACAAACCAAGGAGTGTTACAGTATTTAAAATGTTATAGAGAAAAAAATTCATATCAAGGAAAGTTTATCAGCAAAGACACCATTTCAAAATAATTTGCCAAATCATACAATTATTGATACAGAAATCCTATTCAGTGCTGATTTATGGGAGCCATCAAGTTACCGGTATTGGTTTTTTATAGGTGCAAATATGGCTTAACTTTTTTTCAAAATGACCATTTATTAAGCATTCAGTCCAATCTAAGATCTGCGTATGCATCATCGTGTTTAGGTCCACCGTGACCTCATGAGTTGGAGGTATGATTATCCCCCATTTCACAGATGAGGAAATGGAGGCTCAAAAAGCTGTATAATTTGTCCATGGTCACACAGAATCTCAACTGAATCCAGATTGAACAAGCTGGTCCTTTTAAGGAATACAAAGTACAGCCTCCTTGTGGAGACAGCCATGTTGCCGTCAAACGAACAAACAAAAGACTAAAT